TTAGAGATGGCTTGTGTACTCGGTGGTGGTGTGGTGAAGGATTGGCTTGGCAATTTTATCTTTGGTTTTTCTTACTATTATGGTGCAAATCCTAATAATAAGGGTGAGATTTATGCTTGTTATGGATGGTTTGGAACTTTGTAGGAGTAACAATATACCGAGTACACTATGTTGAGCTTGATTAAAAAATGGTGGTTGATTTTATTACTTGGTTTGCATAAAGTCCCATGGCCTTTGATTTACCCTCCGTGCAAATGTAAACTTCTACTTGGCTCATATAAATTGTTGCATGTTTACAAGGAAGGCAATTTCATAACCGATCGTTTAACGGATCATACCTATGCATATGGAGACTAGGAAATTTATCTTTCGAGTTGGTTCTCTTCTCGTGTTCGCTTGTGTGGCTCTTCGAGAGGATTACGAGTGGCTCTAGTTAGGTTCGGGAGATAGTTATTATTATATCTTGGTTTTATTTCCCTTTCTTTGTAGGCTACAATTAGTCATTATCTTGCTTTTAGTTTGTCCGAAATTTTTGTTAGTTTTTCAAGGAACTTTCCTTTAATTTTTCAAGGGTTTAGGCTTCCTTGTCCATCCAAGTACATTGGTATAGGTCGGTTTGTCTCCCTTTGCATCTTTCCACATTTCATCTATGCTATTCCAGTGTACGAGTCCTTGTTTCAAAAAAAAAAAATTTAACTTTTTTTTTTGAAAATTAATTTATTTAAATTCGACAAAAAAAAATTAAAATGAAAAAAAAGAAAGTAAAAGGACGAGATTAAGATATAAAAAAAAGTCATAATTTCATAGTGTTAACAATGTAATTTAATATCGCTAGTTTAAAAAGTTAATATAAAGACAAAATTTAGGATTAATATACTTATTTATCCTTATATAATATGTCAATTTTCTAATATTTTTCTAAATTTTAAAATGCTTATAATATGTTTGTATTATTTGAGCCGATTTTCAATCTATCATTCCGATCAATTTTTTAGTCAAACCATCCAAAAATATCACATGACTCGCACATGACTTTTACTTTGATAAAAAAGCCTCTTGCAGCCTTAACATGTTAAGTTTCTAATTTGTCCTTATATAATAGATTGAGCCGATTATGTTATTGTTATTAATTTTTGTAATAATGTGTTACAAATTTTACGTTGATTAAAAATATATAAAAATATCTAGATGTAACTATATAAGAAATTGTCATTTAACATATTTTTAATACTAAAAAGTTCTTTATATTATAATAATTCAATAATGTATATATTGAACAAAGTGATATAATATTTAGTGATATATTAGATCATTTAAAAAAAAAAAGCATGTGAATCGATTGCGAAAAATAAATAATTATATAATTAAAGAAAATATATAATTATTTTTTTAATTACATGCTTAAGAGACTAATTAACAATTACCTAGATACAATTATTTATTTTTTAATTATATTTTTAAGAGACTAATTAACAATTACTTAAATATAATTATTTATCTTTTAATTACATGCTTAAAATACTAATTAACAATTACTTAAGTGTAATTATTTTTTTTAATTTTTTGAACGAGTTACACACTAACTTATACCAATTATTTTTATATATTTTAATTAATAAAAAAAACACTATAGTGCAACAAATTATTATAAAATTTATCAACAATGATATAATAGACTTCTTAGCATTAAATAGATAGATTGAAAACTAAATCAAATTATATAAAGACAAGATTAAAAACTTAATATGTTAAATTATAAAGGGCATTTTTATAAAAAAAAAATATATATTTGTAGGTAATGTGAATTTTCGGATGGTTTGACCAAAAAAATTGATTAGAAAGATATATTGAAAACTTAATATGTTAAACTACAAGAGGTATTTTAGTCAAAGAAAAGTTACGTGTAGGTTATTTGAATTTTCAAATGGTTTGATAAAAAAACTAACTATAAAAAATATTGAAAACCAACTTAAATAATAAAAATAAACTGAAAACATTTTAAAATTTAGAAAGAGATTAAAAAATACCTATTAGATAAAGATAAATAAAAAATAATAGAAAAACACACAAAAAAAAGGATGCCCGCAAACATTAACTCATTTGTAAAAGAAAAAAGAAAAAAAGGAGGCTTGTTGTCCTTTTGCACCGTTTGTCGGGTAAAGCACCCGACATAGTAACGGACCACGAGTTGTTTTTCTACTTTTTAACTGTCTCCTTCTCTTTCTCAACTTCATGTCTTCATCTACCAAGATAACTCAATAACGATTCCAACAACAATAATACAAGTAAAATGAAATCGATTGCTCATATACACTCATTATCCGAAATTCTTTGAACAAAAAATAAAATAAAATAAAATAAAATAAAAACAACTAATTTATCTATACTCTCTCTCTCTCTCTTCACATGTTGGCGATGAGCTAGTCATGTGATCTCGTTCTTTAGTGTTTTGAGCGGACAAGAGATAGAAAGAGGGCAAAAAGGATAACTCCTTCCCTCTCTCGGTCTTTTTGACTTTTCAGCTTTCTTCTTCTTCTTCTTGCCATTCTTTTTTTTTTTTTTTCAAATTACCCTTAAACCTAAATTAGGAAACTAATTTTTTTTAGGTAACTTATTTTCAAATTTGGAACCGACTTCCAAATTAGAAAACCGATTTCTAAAATAGGAAACTTTTCATTTTGGAAACTTTTCATTTTAAGAAACTTTTCATTTTTGAAAACTTTTTTTAAAATAGGAAACTTTCAAAATTGAAAACTTTTTTCTAAAATCTTTACTTCTCTTTTATTATGTGAATGTTTAAACTTATGCGTGTAACTCAATAGGCTTCTAAATATGTTGGCAATGTATCAAGAATAAAAGACATCTATTTTATCTCTTGATATATAAATCAAGATTGGCATCTAGCAAGACATTATAACTATCCAATTCTTTATGATGATTAATTAATCTGCAATTACCATTCACAAGTATAGTTACTATACAATTCAATCCTCGTGTCAATTTATCACGGTGTGTGATCTTGAACTTGATAATTAATTTATTCGATTATGATCACATAAGTTTTCTTCGATTTTCAAATATATTAGCTCTAGAGTAAACCAACTATGCTCTGTTGGTGTACTCCTATGGTGACCACGAATTCTTTGAGTAGACATTTATCGAAGTGCAATGTGATTACTTACTTAGCATACAAGGAATGACAATTTCTATTTTAGTCATCCACTTATCTCCATTAGATTCTTAGTACACCGAACGAATCGTCTACGTGCAACTCTTTACCGAGCCTATTGAAACGAGTATTAAAGTACATAAATCTCTAATGAGATGCCGTGATGACTTCAAGTTAAAGGAGTAGTTGTACCTATCTCGTATGAGATTTCCGTCAACCAAACCAAATGGGTTTTCATAACGAGTCAAGTCCAGGTGATATGTTCTCTAATATTAATCACCTATGTGCTTGTTTTGGCATCACCATGTCAATAGGTGTGAGATCTCCTACTCGCTATTGCTATCTTATAGCACGAGCATAATACTCACAAGTCTTGCCGCATATAGTCGGTATTCATTCTTAACAATGGTACGACTTATAACATTTAATGATATCATTTAAGTACATTAATGTTTGTCTCACATATTTCGATCAATTATTAATGTAATGCATATTATATAGATTTCTATCTAATTCTATTCATAAATATAAACAATAAGAATTAATAGAAAGACTTCTTTTATTAATAAAATAAAAAATACAATATTATAATAAATCAAACAATCCAATTCAAGATTGGATCTTGGACACTTATACTAACATTTTTAGCATTAAATATATAAATTAAAAACTCAATCAATTGTATAAAGACATATTAAAAACTTAACATGTTAAACTATAAGGGATATTGTTATCAAAAAAAAAAAGAAGAAGAAGAAGTCATGTGTAGATAATGTGAATTTTCGGATGGCTTGACAAAAAAAATTAATTAAAAATACATATTGAAATCTTAACGTGCTAAACTACAAAAGGTATTTTAGCCAAAGAAAAGTTATGTGTAAGTTATCTTAATTTTTGAATGATTTAATAAAAAAATTAATTAAAAAAACATATTGAAAACCAATAGATTGAAAACGTTTTAAAATTTAAAAATAGATTAAAAAATTAACCATTTAGATAAAATAAATAAAAATATCAATCCCAAAATTTAGAAAGTTAGATGAACTTAAAATAAAACAATAATAGGTAAAAAAAAATGGAAACCTGCAAACATTAACTCATTTGTTTTAAAAAAGGATGCTTGCTGTCCTTTTGCACCGCTTTTCGGGTAAAGCACCTGACAGAGTAACAGACCACAGAGTTGCTTTTCTACTTTTTAACTGTCTCCTTCTCTTCCTCAACTTCATGTCTTCATCTTCCAAGATGACTCGATAACAGTTTCCAACAACAATAATGCAAGTAAAATGAAATCAGTTGCTCAAATACACTCACTCTCTGAAATTCTTTGAACCAAAAAAATAAAAACAACTAATTTATCTGTACTCTCTCTCTCTCTCTCTCTTCACGTGCTGGCGAGGAGCTAGTCATGTGATCTCGTCTCTAGTGTTTTGAGCAGACGAGAGATAGAAAGAAGGCAAAAAGGACAGCTCTCTCCCCTCCCTCAGTCTTTTTGACTTTCCAGCTTTCTTCTTCTTCTTCTTCTTCTTCTTCTTGCCATTATTCTCAGTGGGATTAAGGAGTGGAGATGGGATGATTATAAAGGAGTATTAGTGGTAGTGATAAAAGAAAGAAGACCCCAACTCCAAGTCAGTCAACTCTCAATTAATTTACACAATCTTCAACCTTTCAATTCCATCCCCCAACCACTTCATTTAAGCCCACTAAAGAAAAAAAAATTGTTGAATTCATACCACTATTGCTACTACCTGTAGTCAGCCTAGTGCCTCTGCTACTGTATATTTCTGTAATAGGAAAAGAAAACAAACGGATAGCCTGTCTTCTTCCTGTAATAATGGGCTGTTTTCAGTCCAAAACCGCCCATTTAGCTTCTCCTGACCTAGACCCTCCTCTAGCTGAAGAAGCCAAGCCAGATCTAGCTACTAATGACCAACTTGACTTCCAACACAATCACGATCAAGACCAACTCATCCCTCCGTTCAGGGAGTTCTCCTTGGCCGAGCTCCGAGCCGCCACCAACGGATTCAGCAGCGATTTGATTGTTTCCGAGAGCGGAGAGAAGGCTCCCAATGTGGTTTACAGAGGAAAGCTTAAGAATAATAATAATAATCATAGGCTTGTCGCTGTCAAGCGCTTCTCCAGGCTCTCTTGGCCTGACCCTAACCAGTTTCTCACCGAGGCTTCTGGGGTTGGAAAAGTTCGCCATAACAGACTGGTCAATTTGATTGGGTGCTGTGCAGAGGGAGATGAGCGCTTGCTGGTCGCTGAATACATGCCTAATGACACTCTCTCTAAGCATCTCTTTCACTGTACTACTGCTGATCTTTTATGAGATGATTCCTTTTTTGTTATTTTTCTGGTTTACTTTTCTTTGCCTTTTTCTAAGCATCTCTAGAATCTATTTTTTCTTTTTGAAGGATGATCTCTAGAATCAATTTGGTCTGTTTATGGCAGGGGAAAAGCAGCCTTTGCCGTGGGAAATGCGCGTCAGAGTTGCTTACTACATTGCACAAGTGCTTGATCATTGCAATGCCCAGAACCGCAAAATTTACCATGATTTGAATGCATACAGAGTTCTTTTTGATGAGGTTACTTAACATTTTCATTCCCTACTTTCTTACCTTTTTTTCTATATTTTCAAAACCTACTTTCCTTTCCTTTGCTGCTTAGTTCAACTTGCCCGCTTGTTCAATGTGCCGCAATTTCCAAACAGTTTTCAATATAAAGCCTGGATTTTGTTGTCGCATGCAATTCTCCTTTATGAAAATGGGAACAGTATAAAGGGTTGAATAACTTTGTAACATTTCTTTATTCTCAAAAATTACTTTAGACATGCATATTGACTTGCACAATAATCTTGTTGGATATAAAAAGGATTAGGATTGTAAATAATAATTTGAACCCTCTTAGGGAGGGAAGTTATTGAGTCCATTGCCTTCTACTTGTTATGGCTATTTTTTAGGGTTCTTCCTCTAGAAAGCTTACCAACTCCCTTTACTTGTTCATGTCTTTGGCAATTAACTTGTCCCCTAATCATCACTCTATCTCACACTATGCACATCACTCTATTCTCTGTCACATCATTGTGACACCATTGCGGACCATGATACTTGCAGCTGATACATAATGTGACGTATGAAACATCATTGTAAGCTGGAAAAAATGTTAAGAATTTCTCTAGGTGATTGACTTGAATTATATATGCCTTTGTAGTATTTTTTTCATTTTTGGACGTCACACTCTCCAATTTTACAACCTTATTCTATATCTATGTTTTCCTACGTATTAAGAGGTTTACAAGTTACAACAACTAATTTTCAAATTGCATTTTAGAAGGCTATTCTTAACTTATCTGGTCTCTGTTTCACTTAGTTTCATCTTAATGCCAGGACGGTGACCCCCGATTATCTAGTTTTGGCTTGATGAAAAATAGCCGAGATGGGAAAAGCTACAGCACAAATTTGGCATATACTCCACCAGAATTTTTGCGAACAGGTGCCTTCTTATAACCTAGCACTAAGGCAGATCAACTCATGGATGTCTGCACTGTGATGTGACCTAGATTCCATGCTTGGACAAGCCTCTGCACCTAAACTGCAAGGATCATTACGGTCGAAATAAATACGTAAACTCTCACTTCTGGTTGTCCTTCAGCCATTGTGAGTTTATGGAGTACATTGACATCATCAAACAAGTCAATAATAGTATTGAATTCTATCATACCGGCATTGATTTTGAATAATCAAACAAGTCAATAATAGTATTGAATTCTATCCTACCGGCATTGATTTTGAATAACTGTTATATTCATGTGGTTCACTTACTCAAAATAATCCCAACTATTGACACTTCAGGATTTTTTTATCAGTACTTAATAGAAGGAAAAGCAATGAACCACATCCCTTTGAGTACTTATATCACTTTGTATATGATCGAATGCTCAATTATTGCAGGTAGGGTCATCCCTGAGAGTGTGATATACAGTTATGGAACTGTTCTACTGGATCTTCTGAGTGGGAAACACATCCCTCCAAGCCATGTATGTTATCATTGTAACCGATCCTCATCCTTTTGAAAATACTTTTTCTACAGTGGTATTCCAATATATGGATCACATGATGCTTTCTCCTTCTTAAGTAATTATAGCGTGTTGCCATATGTGGGTTGCTAATTCTGTCAAATAGATCAGGTGGACTTCATATTCTGACCATTGACTAGTCATTAGGTGTTTATAACTTTGAATAATCATTTCAAACGTGTATTGTTTCTCTAGGCATTGGACTTGATAAGAGGGAAGAATTTACTATTATTGATGGATTCATCCTTGGAAGGACAATATGAAAATGAAGATGCAACTGCTTTAGTTGAACTAGCCTCAAAATGTCTACAGTATGAGGCCAAAGATCGACCTGACATTAAGTTTCTCCTTTCAGCAGTGGCCCCTCTCCAGAAGCAGAAAGAGGTGAATTTTCTTTGACTTGCTGGAAAACACAGTTGTTTTTCTGTTCATAATGGGATAGTTGTACTTGTGTTGTATCTATACTAATGCATATTTTAACATTGGTTCTTCTAGGTTGCATCACATGTGCTAATGGGCCTATCTAAAACTCCAGCAGCGCTGCCAACCATGCTTTCCCCACTTGGAAAGGCTTGTGCAAGGATGGATCTTACTGCAGTGCATGATATTTTGCTTAAAACAGGCTATAGAGATGAAGAAGGTGCAGAAAATGAGGTAGGTTGTGATGTTGCCTGATTTCCTACGTTTTACTCCACAATTTATATTGTTTTGTGGGCATAATTTGGCTTCTTTATTTGTTGGCAGCTGGTTTCTCTTAGTTGCCTGTACTGCAGGCTAAAGATACTGTTGCTGTTTTAATACAGTCAACCTTTTGCTCCTCCATGTTTCTTTTGCATGCTTCTGGCATTAGAAGTCCTAATCATCATCTAACTTTCAGTAAATCTGTTTTCTTTGAAGTTGTCATTTCAAGAGTGGACACAACAAGTGCAAGATATGCTGAATACAAAGAAGTTTGGGGATATTGCTTTCAGAGACAAAGATTTTAAAAATGCTATTGATTATTATACAAAGGTATCTCCATTTCTATTGATTGATTCATTTGCATTGACTTGTGGAATGTTATAGCTTGTATTGCATACTTAATTTTTATCTAAAATAAATTTTAATTTGCAAAGAAAATTAGACTTTTTTAACTTTTGGGTTCCCTTGTAATATTTTGTTGTTTCAACTTTTCCCCAGTGGCATGGGTGTTTGATTCCTTGTTTACTGTGAGTATGTTGTTTTCCTTTCTCCCACACACCATGTGTACGAAGGCTAGCTGAGCTAGCAGAAAAATGTGACGCATTATAGGTCTGTGAACTACTAGGCTAAGTTGACCAGCATTTGTCAATCAATGAGCAATTTGAAGATAAAAATTATAGGGTCCTAATCAGACACTTGTTCCAAAGATCGGGATTAGATTCACAGGGTAGCCTAATCATCAATTTACTTCAACTTTATTATAGTTTTGGTTGGACAGCTCCTAATGATGTAGCATGGCATTTTAAGTTTGAGACCCAACTATATTGTGATATTCTTCTTCCTACTTCATTTCTTTTTTCAAGGGCACTTCCTTGTGAATGTCTCAGTTTCATAAGTAATCTAGATCTGAATGATGTGACAATGCTTTTGCAACCTAGAAGCAGCTGCGGTGCCACACTAAACACCCTCAGTGTGTTTAATAATGGCTTTCAAAGCCCACCTTTTGACAGCCTGGTATCCTACATATTTCTTACTTCAGTCAGCCCTGTTAGCATACATGTCCTTCTCCAAGTCAAATAGCTCAAGATAACTGTTAGATATCCTACACAGAACCCGATCATTTTAATTTCCATCGTGTAAGAGTATAAGTAGTGAACGATCATGATTTACAATTCTCTAATTGACAAGCTATTCATGCATCGCTGTGGAGGTTGGATTCTAGGTTATATTGCTAAACAGCACAAGTCTCAAATGTCAGCTTGGCTCTCATGCAAGTTATTGTGATTGACGTATGTAGCATTATCCTGCTTCTCCAGTATCATCCATCTTGCCTAAGTTGATCAGTGTGTGTCCGAAATAGTCATACTGATTTGTCATGCAACTTATGCTTCATGTCCTTGATTTCTATAAGTTGTGTCAATTTTATTTAGAGTTGTGAATTGTGCTTACTGAGTTGAAATAGCATCATGACCAAAAGTCTGCATGAATTTAATTGATATCTGTCATCTTTGGAAATGCAGTTGGTATCGATGATGTCTGTTCCTTCTGGTACTATTTTTGTGAGGCGAGCCCTGTCATACTTGATGATCGGCCAAGAAGAGCTTGCATTGAGAGATGCAATGCAGTCTCAGGTGTGTTTGCCGGAGTGGCCTACCGCATTCTACATGCAAGCTCTGGCGCTGTCCAAGCTGGGAATGGAAAGCGATGCTCAGGACATGCTTACTGATGGGGCCTCATTTGAAGCAAAGAAGCAGAACAGCTGGCGCATTTAACATTACGAAAGCCCTGTGTTATTGCTGGCGTCGGCATGGGGATGGGCGGCAACTGAGGAGGAAATCTTATAAATATGTTGAGGGCTATTTAAGAGTGGATGTCACCTGCCCTTTTTCTTTGTAGCAAAATGGAGCAGTAATTTTCCCACAGAAAAGAAAAGAGAATGTATAAAAAAAAAAAGAAGCTAAATTTAGTTGAGAAGAAATAAATAGAGAAGCAGCAAAGCTAACTAATCCCCTTAAGCAAGCAATAGCACTAGCTACCTACCTACTTTCCGGTTGGGCATGTAGTGTAATTTTTTTTTTTTTTTTTGGCATGCCATGCCATGTAATGGGAGCATCATGATGATGGATTGGTGAGGCTGTTTTGAAACAGCCATAAACGTTGTTAACCAGTTGAGGTGAATCAGGAGAAGAGAAGGTTGTAGAGGAGGTTATTATTGTTCTGTAGGTGCTAGTGCGCGAAAGTTAACCAACGGAGCCAATGAATGAATGATATATATGGCGGTGAGAACATTTTGTTTAGCAGTAGTTTGATGCATCGCGTTCCTAATAAAAACCAAGAAAAAAATTATAATATTTAAAAAATAATTAATGTAAATTATTTTATAGAAAGACTAGTGTAGGTTATTTCATAAAAAATATATATACATAGGAGAGAGAATTAAAAAAAGAAATTTAAGTCAAGGTGAAAATTTTGTTGTCATTTTTAGTAGATTCGGATATGATTTTTTTAAATGTTTATTTTTCTTTTGAAAAGTAGATTCATAAAATAACTATTATATATATACATTAGTTCCTTCTTGAGTATTATAAAATTTCTCATAAAAAACTCATTTCTTAACTTAGAAAATGTTTTTTAAAATTTATTTTCAGTATTTTTTTACTTCAAAATAGTAATTGTAAATATAATTAATAATGAGTTTTGTTTTATTTATAATTCATAACATATTTATTTGTGTCTTTATCATTTTATTCTATTAAATTTAAAAACTAAACTCAATATTTCAATGTAATTTATAATTTTCTCGTCAAAAAATTATATTTAATTAATTTTTACTAGCCATATGATTTATTTGTCCTTACATTCACTTTGAAAGAAAAAGTTATATTATTTTTATAACGAGTTTCAATCAAAAAATAAAGGATGCTTTAATCGATTGTATAAGAAAAATTAAATGAAAATTAATGTTAAAAAATTAATCATTTTACTCTTATAAAATATTTGGGAGAGAAATTAAATCTTTTTTACTTCGATATTTTTTAAATTACGTACATTAGGTTTGTATATTATCATTCAGAAATAATCACTAATATTAGTAGCAAAAATCTCTAATTTTATGTGAAAAATATGGTATCGATAGGTGTTTTTAAAATATTAATTTAATCATTCTATTTGATAAAAAATTAATTTTATAATATCTAAAAATAAAATAAAATAAAAAACAAATAAAGTAAGGTAAAAAGAAAAATAGGAGCCAATAAATCTAAAAATCAAATATATTATAGAAATTATAGCCTTTTCACTTTTTTTTTATAAAAAATTTGCCTCGTGGCAACAAAATCAACAATTTTTTTTTCTTGACTTGTAATATATTTTTTAAATTTTATTTACTCAATATACTCTTTATTAGAAAAACAATATTTGTCAAATAATTATAATTTATAACAATGTTTATTTCAATTGCAATTAATAATATATTATGTATGTTTTTAATATTTAATTTGATTAAATTTAAAATCAAGTAAAAGAATAATAATCTCGATACAAATAAAAAAAATTATGCAATAGTTAAAAAAAGTAAAATCTTGGGTAGTAGGTTGACCATCTTCAATAATTTTAAAAATATAATAACATACAAAAAAAATTATATATATGTGTGTTGCATGATATCAATTTTTTAAAATAACTATATCTCAAGTTTTTAGCTCCTTGGTTTAGTGTTTCACCAAAAAAAAATATATATATATAAAATTGAAGGAAAAAAATATTTTTTTCACAAAATAATATGTATATATTAGTATTAAAATGCTCGATCTTTTTTTTTTTTTTAAAGTATGGTAGTAGTATGTATTTTTTTAAAAAAATATTATTTTAATCATTTGATTAGAAGAGAAATCATATTTAAAATTTAAAAAGTAGAAAAAAAGGGCATGGGCTAGAAAACCAAGTCAATGTACACTTGCGCTTGATAGGAGAGGCTTGGGCAATTGACCTTGTTGTTAGTGTAGATGCCGAAGATCTAATCGTATTTGGATAGTTTGATTTATTATAATATTACATTTTTCATTTTATTAATAAAAAATTCTTTCTATTAATTTTTATTTTTTATATTTATTAATAGAATTAGGTAGAAGTGCATATGATATGCATTACATTAAGGATTGATCGAAAGATGTGAGAAAAACATTAATGCACCTAAATGATATCATTAGATGTCCCAAGTCATAGCATTGTCAAGAATGAACATTGACTATATATGGTAAGACTTGTAAGTACCATGCTCATGTTATAAGATAGTCGTAGGGGATCTCATACCTATTGGTATGGTGATGCCAAAGCAAGTACTTAGATGATTAATGTTAGAGAACATATCACTAGACTTGACTCACCATGAGAACCCATTTAGTTTAGTCTATAGGAATCTCATACGAGATGGGTATAACTCGGTTCTTTGACTTGAAATCATCACGGTTATCTCATTAGAGGATTTATGTATTTTGACACTCGTTTTGATGGGCCGAGTCAAGAGTTACACATGAGCGATTCGTTGAGTGCACTAGGAATCTAATAGAGATAAGTGGATGACTAAGATAGGACATGTCATTCCTTATATGCTAAAGAGTTATCACATTATACTTCAATAAATGTTTACTCAAGAAATCTATGGTCACGGTAGGAGTATACCGATAGAGCATAATTAGTTTATTCTAGAGCTAAAATATTTGAAAATCGAAAAAAATTTGTATGATCATAATCAAGCGAGACTTAAACTTAAATTCGAGATCATACTAGGATAAATTAACATAAGGACTAAATTGCATGGTAACTATGCTCGCGAAAGGTAATTACGGATTAATTAATCCTCCTAGAGAATTGGATAGTTATGATGTCCGGTTAGAGGTCAATTTTAATTTATGTATCAAGTATAAAAGATGTGTCTTTTATTTGTAATACATTGTCAATATATCTAAGAGCCTATTGAGTCGGACGTATAAGTTTAAGCATTTACATAATAAAAGAGAAGCAAATATCTTGAAAAAAAGTTTCTAAGTTTTGAAAGTTTTCTATTTTGGAAAAAGTTTTTAAAAATGAAAAGTTTTCTATTTTGAAAAAAAATTCCTATTTTAGAAATCGGTGTCCCGATTTGGAAGTCAATTCCAAATTTGGAAGAATGTTACCTAAAAAAATTAAGTTCCTAATTTAGGCTTAGGAATAATTTGAGAAATTGTTTCTTAATGTGGGTTTCCTAAAAAATATCTAATCCAATTTATTTGGATAGTCCAAATTAATTGATAATTAATTAGAATGAAACAGTTTGGGCCAATAGGTTTAATTTAAAAACCTATAAGATATTTTAATGAGAGGATAAACTTGATCCTTATTGGATAAGGATCAGGATTTATAAAAATAAGATCAAAAAAGCTTATATGCATTGCAACTCCTAGTCCTTGGAGGACTAAGAAGTTAGAACCTAGAGTTTTTTTTTGAGCTTGTTGCCACCACTTCATTATCCTTAAAGGACAAGGGAACCACTCCTCTTATAAATAGAAGAGAGAGGTGCGATAAAGTTAGTTTAATTATTAGGGCATGCACCACACAAGAAAAGGAAGAGAGAAAATAGTTTTCTCTTCCTAAAAATCATGCCAACTCTTTTTCTCTCTCTTAGGGTTGTCCTAAAATATCTTGGAATAGATTTCTAAAAAAAAAATTAAATAAGTCGAAAAAGATAAAGTTAGCGTTCTATAACTTCGATTGTTTTTTGTGTGGGCGTTTGGACTATGTGGATTATCGATAGAGGCCGGATACTTAGACGACTCGTTTCGCAAAGACTAAATATATATAAAAGGTAATCTTTTACTCCCACCTTAATTTATGTATGTATGATTAGTCGATTTAATAGTTTGATTTTGAAAACCTTAGATAAAAGAAATTTTTTTGTTTTATTTGACATTTTCATAGAATGTATGATTTTTCACTTCTAATAATTAAAAAAAAAAAAAACCTTAGTAGACTATGCATGTATCTTCTTAGGTTACATCTTTTTCTCGATACTTTCCACTATCATTAAATAACTTTTCTAACCAATTTGAACACGTATGCCAATGATATTTATTTTCATGTTTGAAAAGCCGTTCTCTTTTCTCAATTTTCTCATCTTTCAACTTCCTAACCAATTTGAACACGGATGCTAAGATCCTTATTTTCATGATTGAAAAATGCATTCTTTTCTCTCAATTTATTTATCTAAAGACTAAAATGCAAGTCAAATTATTTTTTCTTATTTATAAATACTATGAAAAACAAAGGTTGAAATGTAAACACAGATTATAATAAAAAATAAAAATCAGCAGTACCAATCCAAAATTTTTAAAATACCAACAAATAAAAGCAACCAAAACCAATACAAAACTTTTTAAAAAATATATCATTTAATAAAAAAACCATTTAAAATTTTATAAAATGTCCTAATACATTAATTCTGATTTGTTTCTAGATGAATAACACAGTGAATAGCCTATAAATAACAAAATACCATTCTATTTTTAATTTTTTTTTATATAATTACTCATGGACGTTATAATCTTTCACACTCATATATTGTTAATATAGTTAGCTATTTTTCTTTGATTATTAGATTTAATATTTGTGAAATTATACAAAAAAATTGGTTTAAGTAAAATAGTTCTAATCGTGTAAACAAGTGATTTCAAATACGAATTATCATACGTGAAGAAATCTTTCTGGACGGTTATCTTCTTTTTGTGCATGTAATATAACAATCAAGAATTAATATGTGTTTTTGGGTACGAGACATATTGAAGGATAAAAAAAATTCATGAAAATTTATTTAAATTATATGAATGCACCAAAATTATACAGAAATCATTAAAATTATCAACATATATTCTTAAAGAATTTATTATGATTTGATGTCTAAGCTAATTCAAAAATATTACTTGGTGTCAGAGTCCGTGTGTGTGTGTGTGTGAATCCATCTAAGAATATAATGTATTAAACTGCGGGTTGATGGATCAGATGGAACGGGTTCCCAGGGAAAGAGGATAAGAGGGAGAAGGTCGAATTTGTCTTAGGGTGCAGCTGGATCCAGCAGAAGAGACAGAGACAAAAGCAACGGCACGCGTTTATGAGTCAATGCCACGTCTGATCCATGTCAAATTGATCTGGGAATCTTGTTGTGAATCTTTGATCCTAGTCGTAAGGGAAAGTTTGCCGAATCACCGTCCCAATCAGGACTTGTTGTAGCAGTATTATCTAACTCATTGAATTTTATTATCAATAGATACTAGTAATTTAATATATACGATAAAAATAGTAACAAATTAATTATTATTATTATTATTATTATCATTATTTTATCTCTCATTTAATTCACAAAATTAAATTTATAAGATTTGAAATCCGTACCTATCATGTTGTTCAGCTAGGAGAATTCAAATTATTGTACCAGCAACTAGAACTAACAGTTGTAGTAAGATGGGATTTAGATATCAGTTGGTCCTTTTAATAGTAGAAAATCTTTTATTACATCCCTTTATTGACAGAATGTCACATTGTGTCCTTATACAACAATTTTTTTTATTTAATAGCAATCCTTCATATGCTTATGGCATTCAAATTTAATAGTTAATGATGATATCGGGACGCGTGGACTTAAATCAATTTTCTTTTTTCTTTTTTTTTTTTAACAAAATTTCCTTTTAAGCAAGATATCAAATAAATTTTAACGAAAAAAATACAAAATATGATGCATATATTTAAATAAAAAGTCCATTTGTATTTTCAAAAACATTCATTAGATTTGACAATATTATAGTAAGAAAATTGATTCAAATGAATATTGTAATGTATCATCCATCTTTTAAGTGCTAACACCATTATTGTATGAAGATAAATCAAGGATTAATATAAAACTAAACGAGTCAAAACTCTCCTCAACTTTTATTTACATGAAATTGAGTTTTGAATTTTAAATTTGATTTTTAAAATCACTAAATTTTTATTTTTATTTTATATTTAGTGTGTTTTTTAGATTTCTATCATTTATTTCAAAAAACAAAAATCACACAAATAGCTTCATAATAAAAACAATTCAATGACGTTTATATGGAACTCCTAAAAAAATTTGAAATCATCCCATGTTATTTTTTTTCAATTTTTTATATTTTGAATGTTTTAAAAAATATATATGTTTTAATTTGAAAAAATTATAGATTTTTTTTTAAGAAAATAGATTGAATTTTTTCAGCATTTGTGCAAAATTTCATATCAAAATATCAAAAAATAATTTATTTGAAGGAGAATGTAATAATTAAAAATCATTTGATGAACTAAATTTTAAAAGGTTAAAAGTTTAGAAATTTTAAAAATCAAATTCGATATTCAAATATTCAGTTTCAAGTGGACTAAAATTAAAGAAAAGTTTGGCCATTTGGCGTTGATAATATTAAATAAAAACTTTGTTCTATAAGGACACAAAACGACATTATGTTGTTAAATAGACCAATAAAACATATTTTTAGTAGTAGAGGGACCAACTTCACCAACAAAGTCCGTAGTAAGACAAAAGGAATTCCTTGTGGCGTGGCCCGCGGTTTAAAAGAAGAAGAAAAGAACATATCAAAATACTCGATTCAAAAGGTGAGAGAAGAGAGAGAGAGAGAGAGAGAACGGTCGTCCTCCGTCTTTATAGCGGCACTATCTTATTCGCCCTCGCCCAATCCATAATTTTGATACTTCCAACAACCAAGCAACCGACTAGAACCAGGTAATGAATTCTCTCTCTCTCTCTCTCTCTTTCTTCACCCTCCATGCCAATAATGCTTCCTATATTCATGTAGATCTCTTTCATATTTCAAATTTGTATGTTGTTATATCCGCTAGCTGCAACAACTGCTCCATTTTGAATATGTTGTTCTTAATTTGATAAAGAAAAGCTTGGGAATAATGGAGTTTCTGTATTCTATCAATCAAATTCAAATGTTTATTTCGTCCTTAACGTGCGTTTGCTTCTCCTTAATTTTCTTTCTTTGCCTCGTCGGCCGCCCGCCGCCGCCGCCCTTTTGCTTGCATGAACAGAGGCTTTCGTTCTATTTATTATTTAACTGCTCAACCCTTGACCTAAATTTTCAATTCAAAGCCATAGATTTGTTTTCCATTGAAACATTTCTTTTTTACGTTTAATTTTGGTTTCATAAGCTAGAATTTTCCATTCTCTGCACGTAAATCAAACACAGATTTTGGTGGATTGCATTGGTGTGTCTCAAATGTTGTTGGGCGAGAAATAGAAAAATAAACTAATTGTGAACGAAGCACCTGGAAAATGCCTTCCAAAGGTCAGCTAGCGAGGATTTCTTTTGTATACTATTTTTCTTTGCCGTACTACTTTTGTTATCTTGCCTCTCAAACTGTCCATTGATACTTTTACCATTGTCCCGCGATTACTGTGCTTGGCTTAGGATGTACAGACAGACGAGATTTTTTAGAAATCTAACATGTTTTTATGCTTAAGAATGAATCGGGAATTAGGAAGCGCCGGTGCACTAGGTTTTGACACCGTACGGAAAGTGTAATGCAAAATCTTGCTGCTAGATGTGCAGATGAACCTCAAGCTAGGTTAGATCGGCTAAAGTACTTGTTTATGAATCATTTTTTGTTTTTGGTTATAAGTTGAAAATTGAGTTTTTGTAGTTTCCATTTATGGCTGGTATTGCAAAGGGATACTTGTTTTGGTTCTGTTGTTTGTTGCACTGGTCTTAAATATGCTGATTATTTGCTGACCTGAAATTCAGTGCTCTGCTCTTGATATTCCTTTCGAGCTCCTTTAGTTTTACGGCAGAATGATGTGTCTTGATGATGCAGGAAGAGCAGACTGCCATTTTATGGATAAGATATCACCTCTCAAAGAGATCCCTGAAGAGGTAGTGGCAAGGGAGTCTCTCATCGCTATCTCTTACTTGTTGCCAGACAAAACTCTTGTTCGAAAACTCTCAGAAAATTCAAACGGCGCTGAAAATCTGAGTGAAGGGAAAAATTATCATGATGAAGCAGAGAACTATATATCTGAGCTGATCTCTATATCCAATTCGGAATCACCAGATATCGAAGACCTACCAGTTGCGCTTGGAGAACTTAACAGTTAGCCCGGACAGCAGGTTCTGTGTCCAGCTTTTCCTGGTGTGCTTTTTTTTCCTTCCCCTTCCTTCTTTTCATTATGCGCAAACTTGTTTAATGCAATCTGTAATGTAATTGGATGTCTCTCTGGGGCATACAACTGAAACTATCAATGTTGCATTTCTGGAGTTTAATGTTGAAACAACTTAACTTCTGTCGCGCTGCGTTGTAGTTCTTGCTTTTGGTTCTTGAGCTCTTTTTGTGTTTTAGTTCCCTGAGAGATTCCAAGCCCAGAAGCAAATAGCAATAAGTCAGGTCGTAGGTTATGATGTTGGGCTTTGGCATCAGGGGGTGTAGTTGCCAAAAGTCTTCGAGTCTGGCACGTGATTATGAACCATTTTTCATGCAATCCGTAAGCTGAAGCCCTCATAAATTCACTCAGCCCAGGTAAATGGTAAAAGGATTTGAACGTATGAGCGAGTCCAGAGGCAGATAGCAATAGTCATTTATGGGATACACGATCCAAGCCCGAACAAACAAGAATAGCCCCAATTGTATGTTCCAATTTCCAAGATGATGTAGTCGAATCTGCAATGTGAAAGCTCCAGGTCTTGTGGATCTGGCAATTGCAGCCTTATAGTTAGCTAAACAATCTATTATCTATACTTCCCTGAAAAAGAGTTTCGTCAAATACAATGTTCATGAGATTAGCACATAATTATTTATAAGTTTATAAATGCCATCGATCCTTTTATAAAAAAATGAATAACTATCAGGGATGGCAATTTCAATCGATCTATGGTATCTGATATCATCCAATCTGGTTGGATTTGGGTTTTATCCAATTTGATCGAGCTGAAAGTTCGATTTGGTTTTCACTTGGATGGAGTGTTGGGGCAAATAGAGGTTTCACACAGCTTATCACATGATTCGATATTTTAACTATTTTATTAATTTTTTTACTATATATAATTATTATAATCCTTATATAATAAATATAACTACTCAGTCTTTGCTTTTTAAATAAATTTTGCTTTATAAAAAAAAAAATTAAAGATTTAGTTTTTTTTATTTTTTAAAAATATAATTATCATTACAATTATATTGCAAATACCATGAACATCAATATAAATTTCTAACTTTAGTTTGTAATTGAATTTGAATTTATAATTATGAAATACTTCAATAATAATAATTAATTATTATTAATTAAGAATATGTAAAATTAGTCTGTTAATTTGCTTTAGTATTATATAATACCTCTTTATCAAGTACCAAGTGGTATATGATTATAAGTTTAGTAATTGATGGATTCCTTTTGAAGTACACAATATAATTAATATAACAAATAATAAGAATATATTTAACACCATATACATTATTTTTAAACATAAAAGAAATCTTGAATTATTTATATATAAAAAATCCTACAAATCACTAATAATTTACTAATTAGTATTATATTACTAGTGATGTTTAGTGATATAATTCTATATTTTCAAATCACTTATAGTATTAATATTTAGAATGTGACCTAGAAAAATAAGATTATTGAGTATGTGAATTTTTTGCAAATTTTTTAGAATGTGATTTTGTGAGGTGCTACGAGAACTTTAAAAGAATTATATATATATATATATATATATATAGTGAAGAAGAAATACTATATTTGGGATTGTTGCGGAAAAATGAGACAAAACTAAAAACTAAAAAAGAAAGTATGTTTGCTACCGTTGATGAAATCACCGACGACAACTTTAAAAAGACTAGATAGATGTTATAATATGTAAGGGTAAATCGACAGCGTGTTTACTTTTGGATCAAGGATGGTTAAACATTATAACCCGTTGATCTTGTTTGATAATTTTCACTGGAGAAAGGGGGAAAGTTAATACGTCAATAATCCACCCTCCAAAAAAGAAGTTAATAAGTGTTGGCCTTTCAGCCTTTTTTTTTTCCTCATTAACACTTAATCTTTAGATTGTGTTTGGTTTAAAGTTAAGAAAGGGTACCCCTCTTAAACTACATTTGTTAAATTTTATGAGATTGGTGGGGAGATTCATGGGTTAGCCCTTGACCAATTGATCTCGCGGGGAAAAAAGAAGGTCAAGGGGATAAAAATTTCGGGATTTGTGTTTTTTTTTTCAAACTTTCTTTCCTTTTTTCTACATATAATCATTGGACCCCACAAATATACTTATCGATTAGTTTTTACAATATTTAATTTAAACTTTGTTTTAAAATGAATTAGTTGCCACTATTACACATCATTTTATACATCCACTAAGCATACATTTCAACAACTTTGTTACACTTTTCAAATTTCATATATGAACACTTAATATTCAACCTCTAATTTTTAACTTCAAACCAAACACAACCTCAATTTTTATCATTTAATAAAAAATAACGTTAAGGCTAAACCTATCATTTGCATCATGTGATTTTTACCAATTGGTCTATAAAACACATCTATTATCAATTCGATCAACTAAGTACTTGTATTTTCAACTTTAATCAATTGAGTACAATTTGTCTAAATTGAAAACGAGATTACTCACTCAACGAAGGCGAAATGAGTAATGATGTTAATAAGAATGAAAGTAAAGTCAATGACAATGAATTATTTATTGAATAAGAGTACTTAAGAGGTTGAAATAAATATTCAATCTTGAAAAATTATACTTAATTGACTAAAATTGAAAATATATGTGCTCAATTGATCAAATATAGAAGAGCTTTTTTGATAAATTGGTAAAAACACATAATTTAAATAGTGAGTTTAGCCATAGTCTTAGGTATCATTCGATTATTAGGATTACAAAATTTAGAATGGAAATGCGATAATCGAAATAAAAATTAAAGAATCGAATGACATTTACATTCTTATACCGTATTTAGAATACTAATAAAAAATCGAATGAAATTTAATTTTTTTAATATAAATAAAAATAATGATTAAAAAATAATTTTATCAACTATGATAACGAGTGAAAATAATAGAGATGATCGTAGTAGTTGTGATGGTGGTGGTACAAGAGAAAGGTGAAAAAGAGATGGTTGTAATAATAATAATATATTTTAAAAAAATTGAAATTATCAAGATAGGTGGTGACGTTAAAAGAAGAATGATGGTGGTGATGATGATAGTGGTATAATAAAAATAATAATAGTGATAGTGGAGGAAAAATGGTGGAATAATAATAATAAAAAAAATTTATCACCACCGCCAATAAAGACGATGATGGTAGAGGTAATAGTGATATTTAATACACAATAATTTTATCATTATTTTTTAAAAAAATCATTTTTATTTCTTGTTTTAATCTCACCTTTCACATGGGAATAAAATTAGGTGTAATTTTCATTTTGATTTTATTTCATTTAATAACATAGCAAAATGAGAATAAAATTTTTATTTTTACCACTTTATTCTTAATGATCAAACAATACCTTAATTCTTTTTTTTTTTTTTTTGCCTATATCGAATACGCCAAGGAAGTCGAATCTTGGCTACCTCTTTTAAAAAGATGTGGAAGCCATCGGACAATAGGGCTTCATTTGCCCAAACTTGGATTCCTATTTATCCACTGGTGTAGTACTTGGATTTTATCATACGAACTAAGATCCACCTTGTGTCAAGGCCTATGGGCCTAAGGACGATTTCAGGTGAGCCTCTCCCTCCCTCTCGGAGCCCAAGTATTATATAAGCTCGCAAAATGAAGAGTTTGGACTCCTACGAGGAAAGCACTCGTGTTTGGTTTTGGGTCAATTAACCCCCGTAAACTCGTTTGGGAGTTTTTTACGGAGAGCGACGTTCGGGTAATCAACTTTATTAAAGAAGAAAGATTTTGAAGTTTGTGTAGATTTTTTTTAAAATTTTTTTCAAATTCAACTTTCCTTTTTTCTATTTTTTTACACACACTATAGATGTATCCCACTATTAAATATTATTTACTTTAATATTGTTTAAAAATTATATGGAACCCACTAAATATCCTTAATACTTTGACGTTTAACGACTTTTCCGGCACTCTTAATATTTAACCTTCAATTCTTAACTCCAAACCAAACACAACCTTAGAGTTAATTTTAATTGTTGGGATAAAGTTAACGACTCTCCAAAGGACATGACTTAAGAAGCATTTATTAATTTATTATTATCTCCTTGAATCTTGTGAAAATTACTCAAGTGACCTTCTTTTATTCTCAAAAGTAACACTTCGCATTAAATTAATTATTTTCTTTTTGTTATAAAATAATGAATGTTTATCATCATGTTCATTCACTTTTTCATATTTTCACTACTCATGATTCTTAATATGATTCAATTCATCATTCAATATGAGAAATTAAAAGGATGATGCAATTGATTATTCATAGTTTCTTCTAATTCTCTTCTCAATTTTGAAGCCTATAAATAGGCTTGATTGTTCATTAGTTGGTGTACAAGTTTCATAGAGAGAATAAGAGAAACTTTGAAGTTCTTATCACTTATATTAACATTATAGTGATTTCATTTTTTTGTCATCATTTTTTTTCAATTCTCCTATTATTTCTATTTATTTTATAATACGTTATCAACACGAAGCTCTAACTAAATGAGACAATAGACCATAAGGTATATATCTATCAACAGATTTAATCAATTGTTTCAACAATTGGATTTCCTCTACATAAGTGCTCTACCAAAAGATCTAAATTATTTAGATCATTAAGAGATATGTATCTAATTTATTCATGTACTTTAAATCTATTGATACATGAAATATATATTTGAAAAACTTAAATGATCTAATATATGTTATTTAAAAAGATTTAATTTTATTATTATATTTGTTCTTATTTTTTAATAATATTATTATATATTGTATTATAGAATTTTTATCATATCAAACCTCATAAACTTGATTTGGTGACTCTTGATATTTTGAATAAGAATTATTGATTATCGGTGCTTGATTTTGAAAAAATATTATCTACTTTTTATGTCTTGGATATGCTCTTGCAGTAGCATATTGAGAAAAAG